CTAGAGAGATGGGGGTAGTTCCTTAGCACTGTTCTCTTGCAGGATTCCTATTGGAAGCAAGTGGTCATCGCTGGTGAGACGTGCCTACTGGGCCTTTGGAAATGGTGGGCCAGGAAGAGTATAGTTCCATGTGGGACAAGTATATGTGCACTGGAGAAGGTTTCTTCTGTGTGTTTACATCAAAAACACCAAGATCTTTGAGAACATCCACCAGTATGGGTGAGCTGCTTCTGGGATCTTGGGGGCTTCCCTGCCCCTCTATGTTTCTGTGTCTCTCTGTCAGGGTCCTGGATGCAGCCATGCTTGCAGTCCACTGACTGGCTCTGACCTTCTTCCTCACAGGGTGCAGATCAAGCAAGTGAAGAACTCCAATGATGTACCCATGGTACTGGTAGGGAACAAGTGTGACCTGACTGTGTGCACCACGGGGTCCTGGTAGGCCTAGGGCCTCTCCACAGCTATGGCATCCTCTACATTGACCTCTGTCGAGATGTACCAGGTGAATGGGCTCCCCACCCCACAGCTAGCCAAGGACCTACTCTTGCTAGGAAACAGTGCTTATTGCCCCTTCTCCCCTGACATGGGCAGGCATGCTCTGGCTCCACTTCCAGGACCTTCTGGGACTCTATGGGACCCCCGTGACCCAGCAGCCCCTAGCTCTGTAAGTGTCCACAGATGGCAAGACAGGAAAGGTCTGGGCTGACACAGCTCCAGGAAGAGGCTGAGGTTCATGAAAGGGCTGCCCTGAGTCCAAAGGTGACCCTGGGGTTGTGGACTCTCTGCCCACAGAGAGCTCCGTGGGTCCTTGCTGGTACTGCCCTCTTAATATGCTGTTGGGGACAAGGGGGTTAGGTCAGATAGGAGGGGGACAAAAGATGTTCAGCCTGGGAGTCAGACTTAGGGTTCACCCTTCGGGGACTTCCTGAGGAGCAAGCTGCCTAATGGGGGTAGCCCTGGGGCTGCAGGATGAGCAAAGGCTAGCTACCTGTGTGTGGGAGTCAGGGTCGGGGAGAGGCTGGGATTCTTCATGAGCTTGAGGCAGGGTTCATTCGGTCCCCACCCCTGCCAGGCTCTCAGGCAGTGTCCCACTGCCAGCCAGCCCCTTCTTGTTGGGCCTGGAGGCTGCCTTCTACACAGTGGTGCAAAAGATCTGGCGGCATGAGGTGTGAAAGTTGAGCTCACCTGATGAGGATAGGCAGGCTGCATGAGCTGCAGGCCTGCTCTCCTGACAACTGCGGACACTGTGACACGCCTTGCTTGCCCTCTGGGCCCTAGGAGCACAGGCACAGGGCATGGAGGGCACATGCTGGGAGGAGGCATGACCCGAGAGAGGAGGAGGGGGAGGAGGAAGCAAGCACCTTTGGAGGCCAGCCAGCCCAGGGTCCCTGGACAGTGACCACAGACCTCCCAGGATGCTTTGCACAGACTATCATGAAGTGACACCACTGGCACCCTGACTGTCACTCTCCTTCCAGTCCCATCCTGGCCCACTGGGCACTGGCTGAGTGATAGTAAATTGACAGTCCTGTCCTGGAATTTGGCCAAGATTGGAAGGCACAGGGGACCCTCAGCTTAGTCTGCTTGAAGGCTCTTCTGCAGGGGCACCTGGTAGGGGCTGGTCATGCAGCCTGGACTGTGCCACCCTCTTCCTTTCTGGGTATCTGTCTGGGGCTTCCTGCACAGAGCTCTGGGCATTGCAGGAACAGGCTGGCTTCTCATTTTGGCACAGAAACACTTTATTGAACTTTCAACAGCAAAAAGAGGCTCTGGGCCAAGGATGTGTGTGTTCCACTTGGGAGGGAAACCTTCTTCTCCTTGAGGGGATGTTGAAATCACATGGGGGCCTGGAATCCCCCATCTTGGAATCTTTGGCTGACTCCGGGTGGCATCACATTTCCCGAGTATGGGGTCCCCGAGAAGCAGTTGCTAAGGATGGCAGAGTGATGGTCCCAGGCTGCCAGGTCCACACCTCCCAGCAACTTTAGGCCTGACCTGGGGCTTCAACTTTTAGGTTCCTGAGCAGGACTCTAAATGTCCCATTGGTGCGAGGTGACTGACTGTAAGATAACCCGGCATCTGAAGGAACTGGCCCCTTGTGTGGGTGAGGGTGGGGCCACCCGCCTGCTCATGTTACCTTTCTTTGGTATGATCTATTGCCCCCAGTCAAATTGCTTAGGACAGGGTTGATCCAAGTCAAAGACATGGATGTGTGGGGCATGCTCAGAGTGCACATGTAGGCTTGGGCCAGAATCCAGGACTCACAAGGGCCATGGGGGCTCGGTCCCAACAGTCAGTCTTCATTCTGGTTGTTGGGGGGGAGGGGACTCCTGTCATCTCTGTCCCTGCAGAGCCTGGGGCCATGCCAGGCCTTTCTGGCTCAAGCACTTGTGGCTTATGTGGGGGGTGCTTCATGAGAGGGGCATGAGCTGCAGTGACCACAGGGCAGGAGAGGTGTCCTGGGCCCTACAGCTCCATCTTTAGTGGGCGGGGTGGAGCTCCTCCTGGGAGTCCCTGGGCCAGGTCTGTTGTGTGCACCCTGGGGTGGCCCAAGGTGGTGCTGAAGGGAAATGGACCCAACATTCTGGCTTCAACCTACATGTATCCTCCTGGTTCACTGGGAGGGTTGGGAGGGAATTCCATCACTGTGGAGGTAGCCAGGCCAGTGAGGGGTCCTGGGTTGATGGCAGACAGGCCAGAACCTGAGCCGCTGGGGCTTTCGGACACAGGTATGCAGCCTTGGGCTCTGTGAAGAAGAACCCTAAGCAGGGCCCATGGGGTCTCAGCATAGGCTAAAGACTCCCATCTGCCCATAGGCCCTGGCACCCTCCCTGGCTGCATCAGACTCTCCCCACAATCAGTGGTAACATGCCCTGAGAGAACCCCAGGCTGATTGCAGAATGGGCCAAGGGCTTGTCCACACCCTAGGCCAGCCAAGCTGGGAGAACTGAGGCTGAGACAGAGGGGCCCCAGGACCCCCTCAAAGAGGCTTCTGAGCTTCACCAGGATGGGTGTCAGCTGCAAGCCTCAGCCTTAGAGGTCCAGGGCCTGGCCTGACTCTGGAGGGTGGCACTAAGCTCTGTTTCCAGAGGGCAGGGAGTGGGTCAGGGACCAGGTCTTCTTGGATGGCCTTACCCAGTCAATGAAACACTGAAAGAACCACTTGGCAGTGTAAATGCCAGTGCACATCTGTTTCTCATCCTGACCAAATGGGAGGAGGTGTCGAGGACCCACCCAGTGACCAAAAACCTCTGTGTGCCAGGACCACATGGAGCCAAGGGGATACACTTCCCATGGCCCTGCTTCGACGGTGCCCCTGGGGCCAGAAGAAGAAATAACAAAACAGACTCTTGCCAGCTGCAGAAGGGTCTGCACATCTCCTACCCCTGCCCCGGGCCATGGGGACAGTGCCTCTGGGGTGCTTCTACTTACCATGTGCTTCTTAAACTTTGGGAGTGCTTTGCCTTGAATGTGGCTATGATAGGCCTGGAACCTCAGCAGTTTGGGGAACCCTGTAATGAAGAAGCCTGAGAAGGCCCAGGCCCCCCAACAATCAGAGTCTTCTCCCCCACTAGGTAGGGGGTGAATCCTGGCAGTTGCCTCCTGTCCCATGCTCTGACTTAAGTGTGTGCCCATGCCCTCCTGAGCCCGGGCTAGAAATGTTCCTCCTCAGAGAGCAGGACTCTCTTCTAGGCCTGAGGAGGCAGGGGCAGAGGACCCACCTTACAGAGACCCAGATGGGTTGTGCCCTGTGCTGAGGACAAGACCTGTCTGACCCAGCACCCTCTTTTCTGCAGTGGCTGTGGTGGGAGCAAGGGGTCCCCAGCACTGAGGGACAGCCTCCAGAGCGGGGCAGCCGATGTGTGCTCAACCATCTCCTGTGCATGGAGTTAGGCTGTGAGCACACAGGAGTGGGAGACCAGAGCTGCCACCGGGATGTCGTCTGGCTGTGAGCTTGCAGAATGCCTGGGTGGGCATACAGTCAGCCAGACAGGAGACTGAAGGACCACCTGGGATACAAGAATGGTCCACAAATAGTGGGACTGTTGGCCATGGGTACAGGAACTTGAAGACAACCTGGGGAGGAAGTGTCTTTTGCCAGTTCAGAGACGGACTGGGTGGGGGTCCCTGCCTGCCTGGAGCAGCTCTGCAGGGTGACTCTCCTGAGCTCCAAGTCCAGTCCACTGGCCTGGCTGGCCCCCTACCATACATGGCATGCCTCTCGTTGGTTATCAGCTGAGCCAACATCCAGAAGGCATCCTCCTCACCCAAGAACATCAGCAGGATGGCCACGATCTGGTTCATGCCCTGGAAGTAGCCCACCTCCTGCAAGAGCCACACTTACGTGGAAGGTGGCCATCTAAAGTCGTGGAGTTTGGAGTAGTGGGAACTTTCCTCCCTGCCCAGTTACTAATTATTAGTAGGGTCCTTTAGGATCCAGACCCAAGTTTTACGACAACAGCGATGCACGCTAGAGCACCTTGCAGTCTCAGGCCTCAAGGACTCAGGGGCTGTCCCTCCCCAGCAGTGAGGTCTGCACCCCAGCCCCTCCTCCTTAGTCTTAGAGAGCCCTTCTCTTGCCTCTCTGAGACATTGGGAGCTGGTGTCCTTAACTAGTACATCATGTTTGGTCATAAATGCTCAAGACAATGATACCCAAGGGGTAACCTGCCTGGTGACAGGGATACTCACAGTGTTGTACATGGAATAGACCGAGAGAACATGGAACAGGGTTTGCTGCCTAGGAAAGGGGACAGGAAGGTGATTTTGCTCTTGTCTGGCCAACCCATACATCATGAGGCCAGTGAGGCCAAGAAACCAGCCACACAGGCCCTGCAGTGTTCAGGGCACCTCACTGGGCAATGGTTTTTTTTTTTTTTTTTTTTTTTTTTTTTTTTTTTTGATCAGGTCTACACACAATGAGATGCAGATACTCAATGTGATGGGTGTTTATTTTTTTTTTCTATTTGTCTCCATTAAAGTTCACACTGTGGGATGTGCAGCTCCTGGATTTTTACCCATCCAGCCCCAGAGCAGCAGCTCCACCCTGAACCTCCCCTTTGTAGCTAGGCATTCCCCCCTGCATCCGCTTGTGGTAGCCCCTGATGCTTCTCCTCCTCATGATCTGGCTTGTTCCAGATGTCCAGATGTTCCAGATGTCCTGTGAATGCAACCATACACGAGTCTGGCTTCCTTCACCAAGCACATCACACCCATGGCATCGAGCGCATGGATAGCTCATTCCTGAATTGTATTCTGTTTTATGGATTACCAGTGTTTGTTCATCTAAGAGCATCTTGATTGTCCCCAGATTTGAGCCGTTGTGAATAAAGCAGCGAACATCCATGCAGGTTTTATACAGATAAATGTTTTCAAATCATTTGGGTCAATATCTATGAGCACTACTGGGGCCTATCACGAGGCTCCGTTCAGCTTTGTAAGAAGCCACCAGATTGCCTTCCAGCATGGCTGCATGACGCTGCAGCTCCAGGTCCTGCTGCCCCACGGGCATGCCAACACCAGGTGCCGCCCGTCAGCCTTTCTGACAGGTGTGGGCTGGTAATGTGCTAGTGACAGACCCCGCACAGAGTTCCATCCCCTGCGTCCGTCCACCTGCACCCCAACCTGTCTGGACACACACTGCATTCCTTTCCCTTCCGCTCTGCCCCAGCATCATCAAGGTCTCCACTGGCACCTGGGGACTCAACATGAAACCCGAGTTTCTGATGATAAAAGATTGTCTAGAGAGCCTCCAGGTGGCTAAGGAGGTGCCATCACTGGCTGCAAACTAAGCATGTGCACTAAATCCTTGCAGGGTGGTGATCATGTCATGGGCATGCATACCAAGGGGATACCCATTTTTTACCTTTTTAAAATTTAAATTAAATTAATTAACATACAGTACATTAGTTTCAGAAGTAGAATTCGGTGATACATCATACATAACACCCAGGGCTCATGTCATCACATGCTCTCTTCAATGCTCATCACCCAGTTATCCCATCCCCCATCCCTGCCCTTGAGCAACCCTCAGCTTGGTCCCTATAGTTAAGGTTTAAATCCCTCTCTGATTCTGTCTTGTTTTATTTTTACCTCCCTTCCCCTCTGCTCATCTGTTTTGTTTCTTAAATGCCACATATGAGTGGACTTATATGGTAATTGCCTTCTCTGATTGACTTATATCCCTTAGCATAAGCATAATACCTTTAGCTCCATCCATGTTGTTGCAAATGGCAAGATTTCTTTCATATATATATATACACACACACACATATATATTTATGTATATACATCATATTTTCTTTATCCTTTCATTTATCAATGGACATCTGGGATCTTTTCACGGTTTGGCTATAGTGGACACTGTTGGTATAAACATTGGAGTGTAGGTGCCCCTATGTGGAATCGCTATTCTCTAAAATGCATACAGAGATGTCCACAGATAAAGTAGACCCGAGGTCCCTGGTTTGCTGTGACACCCTTGAGGCTGGGGAAGCATGGGATGAGCACAGAACCCTGGGCTGGACCTGGTGACGGCATTGGGGCGTTCATCATACTATTTCTCTTTACCAATGATGGAAATTGTCCAAAACAAAATGGAAAAAAAATCAGATATATATATATAAAAACACCAAGAGTGAGTGTTACTTATTCTGACCCTTCTGACCCTCATTTGGTCCATGTGTATCCTTGTCCAGCCTCGTCTGTGTTGCCTGGCCCCCATCTCCCATTAGTGTCCCCTACCCACGGCCCCCACCCTCTGCTCTTCACGTGGCCAGATCTACATAACCCTTTGTGGTTCGGCTCACAAAGTGATGCCAGGAGTGCCTCTCCCCACCACAGGGGTCTGTCTAGGACTGGGCCACCAGCCTGTTCCCTGAGCTTGCCCTTGGGGAGGCTGCTCCCTGGAATCTGTCCTCAGGGCAATGGTCCACCTCAGGGCACTGGGAGAGGAGAACTCTTAGATTTCTGTTCCTGACACCCACCTGAGTCCTACAGCCCCCCAAGGTGGAGTGTGGCAGGGAGATAGGTGGGGCTGTCAGGGCTGAGAGGCACCAGGAGAGGTCTGGGGCCCTCCAGGTCTCTAAGGCACCTGATTTCACCCCCCTTCCATGGGTTCCCCCTAAGCTCCTGAAAAGGCCTCATCTGAGGATCATGCCTCTCCCACATGTGGAAGGGCCCTACCTCATATTTCCTTCCCTTTGTTCTCTGACTTCACCTTCTCAGTGTCCAGCAGGCAGGACTTAACCTGACCTCGCACCTGCAGAGGGACCCCTTTGTAGATGCTTCCATGCATCTATAGGAAAGAAGGCAGTGCTGGTGAGACAGGCCCAGGGTGGTACCAGAGAGCCGACGGAGCATGAGGCATCTAGAAACTTCTGGCCTTCTGCTCCATGGTGTCACTGGAGAGGCTGGTCTACCTAGTACTGGGCCTTGTCTCCCACAAGGAGGAGGGGACTGTGGCTCTTACCTGATGCTACCTCTGGTGCCCCTTGGGCCTGGGGGGTGGCTTTGGCTCTGGCATCAGACTCCCCAGGCAAGGGGATACTTCTGGGGGTGGAGGGAGGGTGTGTTGGGCAGCTATGGGCTGCCCTCCCCATCTCCCCAGTGGGACAGAGTATCCTCCCTCCGTGGGCACCCGGAGCCCCACCTTCTTGCTGTGCTGGTATGTGTCCCATTTGCACAGCATCTTCACCTGCTTGTCTGCTCTCCAGGTCTCCTGGCATTTTTTGCTGCAAAATGAGAAGTAGAGGCAGTAGCTAAGCTGCCAGCTGTTTCAGATTGCTGCTTCATGTAGTGTCCAGTCACCTTTTGGGCCCTTAATGTGAACAAACTCAGAAGAGCCAGTAAGGCACAGCGCCTCACACTGGCCCTGGCTCCCCGTCTCGAGGTGTGTTCCTGGCAGCACATGTAGCCCTGGGACAGGGGGGTTTGGTGAAATCCCCCTTGGGACAGCTTTGGGCACTGGGTCTGCAGAAACCTAGCCCCATGTCCAGCGACCACATCCAGCCCTGTAGCAGATCAGACTATTACCTTTGCCTCATGGGGGCTGGGGCCAGGCAGCTCCCTTTCCCTGGAAGGCAAGAGAAGCAGAGCCCTGAGGACTGGGTCCCTGACCCCCTGGCCCACAAGTCAGCCCAGGACAAGTGGGAGAAGAGGGCTGACCCCAGGGAGGGCAGGGGCTTCCAGGTGCCTGTGGGTCATCCAGGGGCAGCATTCTGTGTGGGAGTCTGAGAAAGTTTGCTGCTGGCAAGTGGGGTAGGAGGTGCCCCCACAGCCATCCCCAGGAGGTGACCTGTCACTGTCCTAGAGTGCGCCAGCCTGAGAGCTGTCAGTATAGACTGGTTGCACCCTGTGATCGTCCAGCTGATGTCCCCACACCTTCACAGGGCCTCAGTGTCTAGTCTCCAGCCTGCCTCTCCCTGCAACCTGCCATCATCCCTGCTGTGTCCTGACTTCACCCTTGTTTTATGTCAGGACATCTGTTAATCCCTTGTCTTGTCAGAACTCTTGAGCATGACACACCCCTGGCCCATCCAAATGGACACTTGTCCCTGGGTGGTGAGCAGTGACCAAGGGTCCTGGGAGCAGCCCAGTTGGCCTCCATCAAGTCTCCAGCCTCTGTGAGGTTCTTGTGGTTGCATCAGCCCAGCAGCCACCTTCCCTCTCTCCCACTGTTCTGTCCACCTTCCCACGTGCCCTCCCCAGGGCAGACTCCTCCTCTGCTTCCCTCTACCTGTCCATGCTGGTTGTCCCTTCCCTCTGCTCTGCACCCTCCCTCCCTGACCTTGTCTTAAAGCTGACAACTTCCTGCAGTCCCACAGAAGCCTTTGGAGCTATGGAGGCCCTTGCCTTGAGGGTGTCAGTGGGGAGCATCAGTCCCATCTTGCTCCAGACCAGACTGTCCTCCTACAGAAAGGACGTCATGTCCCAGAGCCCCTCACCCTCTGGAGCCTGCTGAACTGACTGGATCCACCCTCTGAGTACAGAAGGCACACATATGGCCCTCCCCGAAGCAGGCCTTGAGGCCACACCTCTGAGTGCAGAGGTGCCCGGCCCAAGGCCCAGCTTTATTCCTGCCCACTTCTGGGTTTGCCTCCTGGGTATCGCAGCCCTAGGCTAGCACAGACTCTGGCCCTCAGCGGGCTCCAGGGGATGAGGGCCTGACCTGGGGAGATGGGTCCTGCCTCCAGAGAGGCATTCCTGTAAGTGGAGACCACTCCACTGAGATGTGATGAAGGGGTGTCTAGATGACTCACTGCAGAAAACCGTGATGGTCAGTGACCCTGCACAGCGAGAGGTCAGCATCTTCCTGAGGTTCCACTGGAGACCCTGCTTGGTGTGCCTGAAACAGAGGGGGCCCACACAGCAGGGATACCTCAGAGCCAAGGACATAGGTGAAAAGAGGGAGCAGAATGGCTCCTCGCTCCCCTGAATCCTGAGGGAGCCCAGGACCCTCTGAAAATGGTATAGCATGAGAGCACAGGACCTATCTGCCCAGTGGGAGTGCCTGACAGCCTCACGTGCTTCTACTGGCCATGAGCCCTGCCTGGGCTCACCTGGTTCTGGTGACTAACAGCCCCACCTGCACCTCACCTGGCTTTGAGGCCTATGATTCCTGCCTGAGCTCACGTGCTTCTCCTTGGCTGTGATCCCCTCACCTGGAATATACCTGCTTTTACTAATGACGATAATGCTTGGGCCTTTTCTGCTCTACCCTGGCCATGATCCTACCAGGCACATACCTGCTCCTGCTGTGTGATCCCCACCTGGGCCTCAGCTGGTTCTGATACCCAGGATCCACACCTGGGTCTCACTTACTTCTGATGCCTGTCTGCCTAGGCTCCTGCTCCAGTTTTAATTCCTGCCTGGTCCTTACCTGCTTATCTTAGATTATGATCCCTGACTGGGTGGTCTCTATACCTACTGGGTAAAAACCCACCTGGACATCAAGAGCTCCTGCAGATTATGATTTCCCCTCCCCACCACCCTGGCTTCACCTGCTCCTTCTGGCAGTAATACCCCCTTGGGTCTCATCTGCTTGCCTCCGGCTCTGATCCCCCCTACCTGGTACATGATTGCTCTTGCTGGTTATGATTCCCTTTGGGGCATAGCTGCTTATTCCTGGCCTTATTTGCTTTTGATCACTATGATCACTGATTGACCCTTGCTTGGTACGGATGCCTCTGACCTTCACCTGGATCTCACTTGTTTCTGATGCCTATGGTTCTTGTCAGGGCTAAACTGGCTCAAACCTGGCTCTGACCTCCGACTTGGGCCTCACTTGCTCCTGCAGGTCATGGTCTCTACCTTTGAAGTATGCGATCCCAGTGTCTACGGTCTATCTCTGGGCCTCACCTGATTATACTTGGCTACTATTTCTGCCTGTTCCAAGGCCAGTAGGGTCTCCAGATCCTCTTTCATGGTGCTGCAAACAAAAACATCCAAATATTACACTGCCTGAAAAGCTTCAGAGAACAAATACATCTGCTCCCTGTTGGCAGATCCCTAGTCTGTCTGACCAGAGGGTGCAGAAAACCTATAGCAACCTTGGTGACATGCTGGGTTGGTGGATCACATGGGCCACTGAAACTGTGTAGCACTCCCACCTACAGACTACCTTCCCAGCCATTTTCCCAGGATACGATGGCATAATGAGAAGACAGCTCTTTTCGCACTGTTGCCAGGAACACACGGGGGGCCCAGGAGCCTCCTGTGAACTGCTGATCTGATGCTCTATATCGCACCTGCCAGCCTGGTGCTGGCCCTGAGAGGATGAGTGGAACTGCTGGCCAGCAAGTGTTCCTGCAGGCTTGAGGGGGGATCAAAGGTTTCTCTTAGATGCCACAGCACTAGCGACAAAAGGGAAAAAGTATGTGTTCTCTGTTCACTTCCCAGAGTGGCCAGAGGGAGCAGGGAACAGCTCATACTCCCCTGTGACCTATTGTGCGAGTTGTACCTCCTGTCTACATGTGGGTTGTAGGGCAAGCGGGGCAATGCAAGTGTGGCAGAGCCAGTCACAGAGAGCATGAGAGCCTCCAACTGCCTGCAGACACAGAGCAGAGTGAGCTCCAGGCAGTGGTGGAACTCTGGGTTGCCACGGTTCCACCCACAATGGGGTCCCTCGTCATCAGCACAGGTCAACAGGGTCCAGTCAGCACTTAGCTCTTCACCCTGAAGGTCAAACATCCCAGAAGATGGTCCTGTCACTATGCAGGGTGGGATGGGAAGGATTGGCATCCTCCCACCATCCTTAGCTCCCATTCTCAGGCCCTCTAGGCCTCCTGCCCTTCTAGGTAGACTGTGTCACAAATGTCCTTCCACTCCCAAGGGTTTGCAGCTTGCTTTTTGCACTTAAAAACATTTGAGGGGAGCCTGGGTGGCTCAGTCTGTTGACCATTTGACCCTGGATTTCAGCTTAGGTCGTGATCTCATGGATTGTGAGATTTAGCCCCAGGTGAGTCTCTGTGATAGGGAGCCTGCTTGAGGCTCTCCCTCTACTCCTCCCTCTGCCCCTTCTTTGACTCATGTGCACTCTGTCTCAAATAATATATCTTAAAAAAATAACATTTAAGAACATTTGCAAAATCTTTATCATCTCTGCAGAGGTGTCTTTGCTATTTGTAATGGCTGTATAAATGCCTTTCCTGGATCTCTGGTGATTTCTATTAGAAACCCTTATTCTTTACTATATATTGAAGTAGAACTGACACACAATGTCACATCAGTTTCAGGAGTACAACTTAGTGATTTGGCAATTTTGTGCATTCCTCAGCGCTCCCCATGAGAAGTGTAGTTACCATCTGTCCTCATACAAAGTTACTACAATATTATTGACTGTATTCCCTATGTTGTACTTTTTAAATTTCCCTTACTTTTTAAAATTTTATAACTAGAAGTTTATAGCTCTTAATAGTCTTCATCTAGGAGGCCAAGGAGGCTAGAATCTGCACAGTACCAGACAGGAAGTGTCTGCACACAGTAAGGACTCCAAGCCCATAAGGGTACTCTTGAGTGTCCAGTAGAGTACTAGTGAGCACACACACGTGCAGAAACTACCAGAGAGAGAGAGAGAGAGAGAGAGAGAGAGAGAACCATCTAAAAGAACCAGAGGATACAGTCCCCAGGAAAACCTCCCAACATGCTGGCAATACTGTCTGTTCTCAACAGATTTGCTGAGGGGACCCTTTCATCACTTATGTGAACATGGAATTGTTAGGACACATACCTGGAACTACTATAATATGCTTATTCTGTTTCAATAAGAACATACACACCATACCCATCATTTTGTACGTGCTTTTCACTCAACATCAAAAATTTGAAATGTTAATATATACACTAATAATTTTTCACAAGTGAATTATATTCTACAAATATGCCATAATTTATATATCAAGTATTCATTAATTGATGGAAATAAATACTGTTTCTAATTCTTTAGGATGACACAGAGTTCTTCAATAAACAGCAATGCTATTAAAAGAAAGCAAAATGACTTCTACTGAGAGTGAAACCTATATCATCTCCAGAAATCTTCTCTATATTGAATGTAGCAAATTAGATTGCTCCCCATTGTAGGGAAGGGAAATGCTGGAGATACAAACATATCCAGCTGCGGAACAACTGAGCCCCCATATGCACAGAAATGAACATAGATGTAGCTCCTACACCTTACACAAGATTTAATTCAAAATGAATTATAGACCTAAATGTAATATGCAAAACATACTTTGAATTTACCTATAAAACTATAGGTATAAAACTATAAAACTTCTACAGTAAAAAGTGACCCTGGGTATAGATCCAACACCAAAAGCACAATCCCTGAAAGAAAATACTTACAAGTCAGATTCCATTAAAATTAAACACCATTGTTCTGGGAAAGACAAAATTGAAAGAACGGAAAGCCACAATATAAAACCTATACGCTAGTCATGTATCAGATAAATATACAAATATCCCTTAAAACTCAAGTATGAGAAAACAAACTACCCAGTTGACTTCCAGGCAAAGATCTGAACAAACCTCTCCCCAGGAGGCTGTAGGGATGAAGGCAAGCAGGTGAAGAGCCGTTCAGCACCCGAGGTCGATGAGCAATGCCTCTACACAGCTGTCTGTCAGAACGGCTGGGACTGGGAAAGCATGACCACATGGGTTGCTGGTAGGGAGGTGGAGCAACAGGGACTCACTGCTGCTGGGCACACAAAGTGGTGCAGCCACTCTGGAATTCAGTTTGGCAGGTTCTTCCAGAACGATACATCCTCTTATAATCCAGCAATCATGCTCCTAGCCATTTACCTGATTGATTTGAAACTTTAATGTCCATACAAAACCTGCACTGAATGTTAACAGCTTACTCACAACTGCCAAGAACTGGAAGTAATGCAGGTATTTTCAATAGGTGAATGGATAAACAAGCTACAGTCCATCCAAACAACAGAATGATATTCGGTGGTAAAACGAATGAGCTCTAAAGCCACACAGAAACTGGGGGGACCTACGAGCACATTACCAGGTGAAAAGACCAAGCTGCAGAGATGCCAGACAGAGCAGCAGCAGCCAGAGGTCGGGGAGAGGGCAGGTGTGAACAGGTAGAGGGGATTATCAGGGCAGTGAGACAGTTCTGTATACATTTTCCTTGCGGATATGTGGCACTGTGCATTTGTCAAGACCTATAGAGCTTTAATGTATGCAAGTTAAAGATGAATAAATATCTCAGAATGTTGGGGATCCCAGGAAGGAATGCCAACTGTGGCAAGGCTCTCACTGTGTTACAAACCTGCGAAGCCACCTCACTGACGGGGCTAGTCTTGTAAGATTCAAGGCAAAGGGTGTGGACATGAGCACTGGGCTCCCGCCGGCGTGGTATGCCTGTAACACACATATGCTTGGCTGAAGTCCCCGGAGGAGAGGACAGAGATGGGGGAGTAAACAATTTTTGAGGAACTAAAGGCTAAGTATTTTGATGAAGCTCAGTGAACCTCCAGCAGCATTCAGAGAGAGAAACCACAGCGAGGCACATCATGCTCAAATTGCTCCCAACCAGTAACAGGGAAAAGTCTTGAAAGCAGCCACAGGGAAGAGGCATATAGATAGGAAAATTCCCAGGAGTGCTGAGCCACCAACCCTGCACACCAGCGCCGGTGGCACGTCACCTGTGAGTCTGAGAGTGTGGAGGCGGAGAAAATTAAGGCCATTCCACCTTAAGTTCAGCGTTAGCACAAGTACAGCCATCCCAGGCCCCTGTGAATAGGAGCTGAACTTTACATTACTTCACTTACAGGGAAAAAAATAAAACAGCTTACAGTTTAACGTCCTAAAAAGCCCCATATCAGAATGTAAACAGAACTTGAGAAATTGCTCCACCCCTTCTGGAGGTCCCCTAGACCAGCCCTTAAAACTAAGCTGAAACCCACCTCCGGGTCCAAGTCCCTGCTCCGCTGTGTCAGGTACACTTGGACCCAAGCTCGAGCTTGTAAATAAACCCTCGCGTGTTTGCATCAATGTCGGCTCCTTGGTGGTTTCTCGGATTTGCAATCTTGGGCACAACAAGAGCAAATGAGTAACCTGGCCTCCTGCACCTGCTGAAGACACCCTTCCACAATGGGGTCGAACTCCAGTTTGCAGATGGACAGGGCTGACAGAAGGTGCCTTCAGGAGGCTAACATTCCAAGACATCCTCAGGAAGGTTCTTTGAGGAAGGGAGAACAGTGCCAGCCTCATTATGTGGAGGGTGCAGTGTAGGCCCCACAGACAGCAGGGAGCCCCCACCAGACCAGCTTCGGACAGAACAGTGCCAGCCTCATTATGTGGAGGGTGCAGGGTAGGCCCCAGAGACAGCAGGGAGCCCCCACCAGACCAGCTGCGGACAGAGGGCCTCCTGCTGGGAGGCTGCAGGAGGAAACCAGCCTCTCTGCTGCTGGAGCGGCGGCCACGTTGCAGGCCTTTCTGTACCCACAGAGAAAGCAGCTTCTCCATGAGCCTGCACAACCTCCCTGAACTCCTAAGGTCAGGGTTCCAGATCAGAGATCTCCCAGAAAGCTGCAGATAGAATCAACTCTGCTTGTGCACACTGGCAGACTTCCTAGTGAAGACAGAGCCTAGGAAGCTCCTCTGCAGGCTTCTTGCAGAGCCTGAGCCACTGGACTCTTGCCTAAGGACCCAACTTCTGGACTGAGGGAGCAGTGAGCACAGCAACAGGTGGCGCTGTGATCCACCCCAACTCTAGGACACTGGTGGTCCCGGGCGCCCAGATTACAGTGGAGCAGGGAGCATGAGAACTGAGTCCCAACACACTTGAGTCACAATGAATACCTCTGGCATCAGATGGATTTCTGCAACAAAGGGCACCCATATGGACACCTGTCAGGGTCACTGTGGAGTTCTAGCTCTGCCCCTTTCAGTTGTAGTTTCCCCCCTGCAGACCTGAGGGTAGGCCCAGCATCTATCTGGGGGGCTGTTCTAGGGCAGTTGCTTAGAACACACCTGTGAAGAATCTGCTCTGGCTGAGTCTCAGGGCATCTGAGAGCCCAGATACCACCTCAGGCCTTTGAGGATCTTAAGGGTCTGTTCAGAGTTCAGGAGAAAGTCCTCAGACCTCTCACTGAGGCCTGCCTGCCCTGCTGTGCAAAGTAGAAAGAGATGAAACCCAGCAAATGAGGCTTTCAGGTACCTGTGGATTTTAGATACTTACATTCTTCTATGCCCCATTCCTCTCCATCAGAGGTCTCAAGCTTTCTGCGAAGGTCCAGATAGTAATATTCTGGGTTTGTGGACCACATGGTCACTGTTGCATGCTCTTCGGCTTTTGTTGTTGTTGTTGCTCATTTGCCTGAAGCCCTTTATAGTGCAAAACCCATCCTGAATTTAGGATCCTACTAAGAGGGCCCAAGTGTGGGCTTGCCTCCCCTGCTGGAGGCCATGTCTCCTCACTTTCCTTCAGTTCTCAGTCTGCTGAGAGAGCTCCGCTCTTCACTCCTGGAAGTCTGGATTCTGGAGGAGGCCCAGAGCCCACTCTAGGCACACTGACCTGGTGATCAATTTATGGTAGGGTTCAGAAACTCCCCTATTTATATCTCCAGCCCCAGAGGTTTCTCCTGGACCACAGACTCACAAACACAGCATCTCTTACACGAATATTCATCCGACAGCACAAAGGCAACAGACTTTTCATGTCACCTGCACCCTTGCTCCTGTCACCTGACACTTGTCACTTCACTCACTGAAACAAGAGCCTTCTGCAGCAAATCCGGCTGCAGGAGGATTTGGTTCCACCTCCAAAATATCCAGAACCAGACCAATTTGTGTTACCTCCATAGCCACCACCCGGGCCTGACTCCACCCTGTCTCTCAACCAACACCCTGACTCCTTTTTCCTGCTTTGTTCTCCATGGCACTCACCACCACCTAGCACTATCACCTACTCTAGGGAAGAGCAGCATGAGTGCAGGAGCCCGGTCACATTAACTTAGTACAGTTATGGTTCACTCAGGAGCAGAGAGTGCTAGGGGGACAGAGATTTCTGTCTGCTGTGTCCCTGGTTCTAGAACACCACCTGGCATACAACAGGTGCTCAATCCATACTCGCCGAATTAATCACAATGAATGAATGCATTCTCTGTGTGTTGTGTCCCAGGACCTGGGATCTCAGAGCTTCCTGTCCTGTGGGAAAGACAGGGAGGTACTACAAAACAGGCTTGGTAGTGGGAAATCTTATCTGCCCTTCACAAGCTCTACCCGGTGCCCATCCTAGTTTGTCTACCCTGGAGGGGCCCTATACTGGTGGGGTGGTGGTGTCGCTTCAGCAAGTAAGAGCTTGAAGTTCCCAGGAAAGGACTGGCAGGCATAGGGGCTGGGGATGGAGACCACATGGGGAAGACTTAGGGGGCAAGCGGGGCCAGCTGGTGGCCAGAGAGGCCCACAGGGGTGCTGCGTGCACAGGCTGTGTGCAGGGATTTCAGCAAGGCCCTGCCTGTCCTGACCCTCTCCCCCATCCTTCAGAGAAATCTGTAGGATTTGCCAGCACTGTGTGGGGCTGGGCTTCCTCTGAGGATGGAGCAGAGCTGAGTCCCTCTGAGGAGGGCAGCCTGAGGACAGATCTACCCAGAGAGCCACACGAGTACACCTGAGTGTGGAAACTACAAAGGTGAGCCACACGGAGGGGACCTTCCAGCCTGCAACTGGCAGCATCACCACATCCATACAGGTCCATGCTCTGTTAATTCTGAAAGATCCAGCAGAGTGCCAAAATGAATTTCCCCAGAGCTGACACAGTCCCCTCCCTCAGGCCATCCACGAAGCTGGACTGCAATCCCCTGGCTGTGTCTCTTGCCCAGAGTGTGCAGGTTAAGGATGCGTCCTTGTCAGAATCCACTGCCCTGTGAGGACGTGCAGATAAAGGGACCCTCATGCACTGTGGGTGGGAATGCAAACTGGAGCAATTGCTGTGGAAAACAGTGTGGTAGTGCCTCCTAAAATTAAAAACTGAATTATCCTGCAATTCAGCAATGCTACTACTGGGTACTTACCCAAGGAAAAGGAAAACACTAATTGGAAAAGATACATGTACCCCTATATTTACTGCAGCATTATCAACAGTCACCCAGATAAGGAGGCAGCCCACAGAGGAAAGGGTAAAGAAGAGGTGATATATGTATGCCCTGGAATATTACTGAGCCATGAAAAGGAAGGAAATCCTGTCAATGGTGACAGCCTGGAAGGACCGAAGTTATATGTCGAGTGAAAGAAGTCAGTAGATAGAAAAAGACAGATGCTGTATGCTTTCACTCGTATGTGGGATCTGAAAAAACAAAACAAAGGAGCCAAGGAAAAATCCAACAGACTCTTCAATACAGAGAACAAACGTGGTGGTGGCAGAGCAGAGGCTGTGGGGAGAACGGCAGATAGGGGCCGGGGATTCAGAGCCGCAAACTTCCAGATATTATGAAAGTCATGAGGATGAAAAGTACAGAATAGGGAATACAGTTAGTGAAAATGTCAGAACCTCATCAGGGAACAGATGGCGGCACTTCTCATGGGGAGCACCGAGTAATGTACAGATTGGTCTAATCGGTTGTTGTACTCCTGAAACTAAA